CATACGTTGTGACATATTGAGCTTAGCGAGACACGGCGGAGATACTGTTCGGAGGGAGTAAGCAGAGGCGGGGTATGGTGGTGACCAGGAGGAAGAAGCGGCGAGAACGGAAGGCCATCGACGCCTTCTATATATGCAGTTTCATAAAAGGAAACTCGCCGGGAGTGACTTTAGGGGAGGTCGAAGGAATCTTGGTGGGCAGACGGCGTGGATGCGATGGGCGGCGAGAAACACGTCTCGGAAAACGAGACGGATGACGTCATGTCATAACCGAGATCTGGGCGAGCAACTCATGTCATGTTTAGTGGTATCAGGATAGGATTCAACTTATAATAACATACCGGTCTGAGTTACGATTTGCAATGCAATACCAGTCAGGTATCGCGTGTCCTTGCATTGCCAGCGTTCGCCATCCTGTTAGGCGCTTGCCTGGCAACTCATCCCTGATCTATAACCGATTTTTTTGCTGATGTTTCTGGGTAATTCCCGAGTGTCCTTCGTGGACCATCATGTGCACTTAAAAATACAGGCACTGTAATTGCCTGAATGATCCACAAATACAAAACTATAAACAGCACAGATTTTACGTATAAGCCTCTCTAGAGCTCTAGGGAGCCAGCTTGAGTGCTTCCGTGAAGTCGGCGATGATGTCGCTCAAGCTCTCAATGCCCACAGAAAGCTGGAAAAACAGACAGGTGAACACAGTTCGTAATCGGGAGTGGAAAAGCTACGCACCCTGACAAGATCTGGAGTGACACCTGCAGAGAGCTTCTCCTCCTCAGTGAGCTGCTGGTGGGTGGTTGTCCAGGGGTGGATGACCAGTGTCTTCGCATCACCTGAGTTATGCAGCAATTATTTTAGTCACTGTCAATCCATACAGCCATAAAATACACACCAACGTTGGCGAGATTACTCGCAAGCCTGAGCGCATCGACGACCCTGCTGCCGAGCTTCTGGTCTTCAAGGCCGCCCTTGACGCCGAAACTGAGTACGCCGCCGAACATGCCCTCCCTCAGCTGCTGCTTCGCAAGCAAGTGCGCTGGGTGCGATTCAAGCCCTGGGTAGCTGACCCATGCGACCTTCTCGTGCTTCTCGAGGAATTTTGCGACAGCGAGGGTGTTCTCACAGTGTCGTTCCGCGCGGAGGGAGAGCGTCTCGAGACCCTGGAGAAGCAAGAATGCGCCGAAGGGGTTCATCGTCGCACCAAGATCGCGCATGCCATCGAGTCGGGCTTTGATGCCGAAGGCGACTTTGCCATACGTCTCGACGAAGCGCATACCGTGGTAGCCTTCCGCGGGCTCAGTGAAAGAGGGGAACTTGCCGGATCTCGACCAGTCGAATTTGCCTATGGACCTTGTGAATTTCATCGCACGTACGAACATGAGAGCTACTGACCAGAGTCGATGATAATGCCGCCAATGGTGGTACCATGCCCACCAATCCACTTAGTCGCACTATGCACTGTACACAGATGTCTCAACACCGGCAGCGCAAAAACTATAAAATGAATACGCACCAACGATGTCGGCGCCAAGATCGATCGGTCTTGCGACATATCCTGAAATTGCTCAATAAGCTTAGGAACGGTCTCAGCGGGGAGACAGGCGCTCACCGCCCATGCCGAAAGTGTTGTCAATGATTAGCGGGATGCCATTGTCGTGCGCAACCTGCGTGGAGCTCAATCAGGCTGGGATATACGGACAAAGAAGGCCGTTGCAGCTGACCTTTGCAAGCCCTGGAATGTCTGGAACTATGTAGTTCGGATTACCGATAGTCTCGGTGTAAATAGCCTTTGTCTTCTCATCGACGACTGCGGCAAAGTCTGCCGGGTCTAGGCTTTGCACAAACTTGACGCCGATGTTGAACTTTTTCAAATACACTAGGCGTATGCGGTCAGGGTTGTGAAAGAAGAGAAACAGAGTGGAGTCGCTAACCTTTGAATTGGTTGTAGGTCTGCACAGTTGAATGGCCATCAGCTTCGCAAATAACAGAAGAGGGGAGAGTACGTACACCGCCATATAAGTACGAGCTCGAGACAATGTTGTCGCCTGAGCCGGCAATAGTTGTAATGGCCATGAATTGGGCCGCATGACCACTGGCAGTAGCGACGGCCATCTGACCGCCTTCGAGTGCGGCCATACGCTGCTCAAAGACTTCCTGTTACGTCAGAATAATCAGCGATAGACAAAGACCGAGGGCGGTGTGTGACCTACAACTGTCGGATTTCCCATGCGGGAGTAAATGTAGCCGGTCTTTCTGAGGATCCATGTTGGTTAGCAATCTGATTGTATGCGACGTAATGAACTTACTTGGATCCAAAGACATCTGCAGCATGCTACTCAGGGATGTTAGCCTTGAGCGGTTGTACGCAGGAGTTTACATGGCCTTACCGCCGAGTCATTGAAGACGAAGCTCGTCGACGCATAGATAGGCGGTGCGCGAGCGTTCGTGGTGTAGTCGACTTGTTGACCAGCGTGAATTTGCATGGTCTCGAAGTCCGGATCCCTGCACGTGAGTCGTTAGCGTCTTACGCTCGGTGACGGAGAAAGAAGACTGCACTTGTAGAACTTGTGGGGAAGAAGCGTCAGTGAGTCAATCATGGCTGTAGTTCGGCTGAGCGGTTTCGCGGGAGAGCGTGAGCTGGAGACAAAATCGGATGGCGATGCAATGTTTTCATCCCTCGAAGTGACGCGTGTATATGTAGGCCAAGCAAGAATCAAGATCCTTCTGTGTCCGTACGCACCGAGCACTCTTCCTTCTCACGGAATTGCCCCTCTCAACCCCCACACACACCGTCTGCCGGACATTTGATGGCGTTCGGTAAGCATTCCCACTATCGCGAGAAACTATTGGCTGCAAGACCACCAAGAGTTCGGCTGCATCGCCGGCTTATGAACCAACAGGACTAAATGTATGCCGCACTCAGTCAGCGACTCTTGCCGAGGGCACGTGTGACACGGGCAAACGAGTAGGGAGGACAGATAGCAGCCCACAGATAGACGGTCAGGTGCGTACGTTCGCGGAGAGAGAGGGTCTTCAGCGTACCCAGACTCGGGCTAGCACGAGGATAAGGAATTTCGATAAAGCAAGTGTTATCGTTGCAAGCACTTCCCCGCACGCCACTGCCAGTGGGGCTCTTATCGACGTATCGTGAGATTATTGTTAGCCCTTATCTCGGGTGTGGCGAACCTCGCAAGAGCTCGTGGCTACTTTCAATCACCACTCTAAGTGAGATCTGGGACAGGAGTAATGTCCATATCGGTTAGAAGCAAGATGTGGTGCTGTAGGTGCCGTAATGCACGGGAAAACGCAATGAAGCAGAGATCAGCTCACGCACAGTAAATTTAACACCAAGGATGTGGTCAGCGATAGCTCGCCTGCCTGTCAAATATCCCGCATTTCATGTGTCATTTCTGACCAAGCTCCGCGGAAATGTCTCACCCAGACTACCGATGATCGATGAGCGGGAATGTAAAGATAAGAGCAGAAAGGGGTCGGATAAGAGCCAAACGCCGAGGAAAGCATACTTCAAGGTGTCTGAAGGGACTGGTACTGCCCGACCAGACACCGATTGTTATGTCCGCCGTGCGACGTTGGATGGCACGCGACACGTCAAGAGCAGATCAATTATCACGTTGCTGCGGGCCTCCGGCAAGTCTAGCGTCATAGATATCATCAGTTGTGAAGTAAGAAAACAAAGGAGTCGCCTGAACATGTGTCGACATGGACGTGGTGGTCGTAGCTGAAGCGCTGAAGAGTGGAAAGCCGCCAAGCAGTACGCCCCGGAATCCCCCGTTCGGATCAGGCGCCACAAAGCTACTCGGTTAGGGTTAGGGTTCTATAAATCTGAAGTCTCATTGCGACGTGCTTAGGTACAGATTTCCCAGTCTGATAACGATTAACGATTAAAAACACAGTACGGCATGAAACGTGATGTTCTCAAACACCATTTTCGGATTCGGAACGTCCGCTGTGGTCAGTAGAGCTTCCCGACTCGTCGGAAACTCGACGCTCCGACGCAAACCCAGACTCGCTATAGGTTACGTCAGAACACTCCGCGTCAATTGGAACCTCCATGCACCTTCTCGAGTCCCCAAGGAAGACGGCTTCATCCTGCCGGTGATCAAGCGGCTCGCCGATGTTCCCAAGCAGGTCCGAAGGAACCCGAAAGTTCGGGACTGAGAAGCGTGAAAAGCGATCTACGTCTGCGGTAGATTCCGTGGAATCAGTTTGGCTTAGTTGCCGTAGATTCAGTATGAATCGGCTGATCAGCACGCTGGGCTGCGAAGACCAGTCAGTCCATTCGCGGCTCATGACCCCGTAGACAGGGACTCAGGCGCACCATGGTTGTTATGAACTGGGTCGCACTGGCAGTTAGCTGCGGCAGAAAATTCTGAGTATCAAACCCGTGATAGCTGCAATATTTGGCTACTTACAGTTGTGGCCGGCGTCTCAGCAGTGAGAATCTGTGCAACGTTCAAGGCAAGCAGTAATCTTCGCTGAGTCGTGAGTAACGTCCAGCTGATGGCGAACATCCTGGCACGTACATGAAGTATACTGTTCCTGGAGAGAGATGAGAATTAGATACAAGGTAACGTGCACGACGGAGTCGGAGCTTACCATCACGAAGGAGGAGCGAAGATGCCGATAATTTCAGCTTCAGTCTGCGGGACTCGCGCCACTGTTGGAAAGTCTTCACGAGCGTCGAAACTACCACGATTACGTCTCCACATAACACGCTGCAGCGAGTGAGCAGAAGTACTTTGATTGTAATCAGTCGTAGTTAGTAGTAGATTTCCAGGGAAACGTACAGCTAATGCAGGAAGATGAGTCAAATGACATCGTGCAAAAGAGAGACAGCGTACTCACGCTTCGTTTACGCTATTTGATATATTCAAGTAGTTTACACATACGTTGAAGGGTGACCCCAAGTATTCAGGAACAAGGCGAGACGAAGCAAACTATGCCTCCGTCAGCACGACATCGTTGTTGAAGCAGCGTTTAAGTTAACTTACAATATTCGTCCAGACAGGCATGAGTTCCAGCACGAGGATTGAAGCAAGTAAAAAATGCCTGAGCCTAGAGTCATGCCAGATAGCGTATATACGCAAGGCGGAGAATACTGTCAGAGATAGCGATGAATAAACAATACTCTGACTGTCCACTGCGATGGGGTAAGCAACGCACAAGCGACCTGGGCAAAGGCCATTATCTGCATAGTTTCGCTTGTTCCGTACAGAGCTTTGCACCTACAAATAATCAGTCATGATGCTCCTTCTAGCCTGAGGGTGTTCGAGATACATCTGAGATATACTCTGTGGTCAACATCAACGTTTATCCTGAACAGTGAGTATACTCACACCCATGCTCTCCCCACGGTAGCCAGAGTAATATCTGATTGATCACCATAGCCCAACGGGTGGAGATTAGAAGCAGGGACGTTGTGGTAAATTTCCTGCGCCACACGAACGAGATCTCTTGGTCTAGAGTAATGATATAGTCGTAAAGGATGATGGCTGTCGTGACAAAGAGTCAGTACCCGGTATGCCGGAGCGAGCTGCGGTCGCCGTACAAGTGACAGCGAGTCCAGTGTAGGTGGCTACTTGACTGGCTCGGACAAGTAGAGTTAGGAGGACGACCATCTTGCATGAAAGAAAGGCCGCTTACTTTTCCTGCAGCTCTTGTATCAGCTCCGCGGTTGAGTCAGACATGGCGTGAGGATGTATGAAGTGGGTGGGCGAGAGTTGCGCGGTACTACGGAATGCGACATCAAGCCGTCTGAGCTAGTTATACTTTAGTAGTCTGACTGGCGTCACCTATTAGCCGAGCATTTCCAAGGCGGGACTTCATCGCCTTCGATTGTGCAGCCACACTTGGGGCCACATTAGGAGCGCGTCAATGTTTGCGATAATCCCGAGGATCAGGCTCGTTCACGGCCTCCTCATTACGCTCGAGCGCAACGTCATCAGGTGACGGCTGATCCGCATTATCACAGAAGGCTTGATTACCAGATGATTGCGAAACGAGCGAATCATCAGTGATTTGAGTTATCGGATCATGGAGAGTTCAGCTGCGCCGCAATGCCATCACTGCACTGCCCAGCGGAAGCGGGATTAATCTGAGCGATGAACCTGACTTATAGTCGTTTCAGCATCGGACTAGAACGCGCACGGTACCTTGCCTAGTACGCTCGAGAGTGATTGCGGTGTATTGGCCTGGAAGCATCGACATAAACGCGGCGAACGCGTACGTAAGAATATTTTCATTGACAAATCACCGTCGTGGAGAAGCGGCGAGCACGCCAGCAATTCCATCTTCGGTCAACAAGGCTCTCGCCACCTCTAGAAAGCCTTCACAAGCATCGAAGCGAGCACAACCACGTCTTGTATCACACTACAGAGAGTGAGCAGAAGTCCTGGTGCTGCAATTAGCCACGGCCACTATAGAGTATCGGTGGAACGCACAACTAATGCAAGAAGATGAGCCCTGTGACATTATCCAAATGTGAACGACTGTGCTCACGCTTCATTGGCTCTATTTGACTTTTTTGATGGTCGATGCACCTTCACACGAGGGCCGCGCTGTGAGGCGTCCGACATCAGAGCGCCTGAGTCGGCCGTACTCTGGCATGGTGTGTGCCGCCTCTTGGGTGAGTAAGTACTTCCAGAGGGGGACTTAGATCCTTTCCGTGCGGCCCAGACGGGACGGGGTGATGGAAACGAAGATAATACAACTTCACTGCCTTCGGTTTGCCGGCATCACTTGGAAGCACAATACGAGCGTGCTACTGTCTGGAGTGATCCTGAGGATCAGGCCTCTCATGCCGCCATAGTTCATTTCGTGCGACTGGAACATGATCTAACAACTGGTCCCTGTGTTATGGACATCAGCGCAGGGCAGGATATCAAGGGCATCTGTGATATAGAGGGTTGGCTCGCAGACAAGATTGCAGAATGGGCGTGCTAGTAGATCACCGAGCGTCCAGACGATTCGACGGCGTCGCGCAAGCCATGCCACTGCATTGGCCAGTAAGAACCGGACTTCCTGGTGGCGTGTTAGCCCATTATCATTCCAGCGTTAAGCCAGGACACTCGCGAACCTTGCGGTACACTGCCTAGTGGATTCGAGAGCGTTTGTGGCGTGTTGGCTCAAGCAGTGCTCACGAACGCCCGGAGATAGTCGGGTACGCGCGCCTACTCATGAAGATATTTTCACGTGCCAGTGGTGACCATCCTCGATGAACTTAGCTGGTCCCCAACCATCCCAGCCGAACGGCATAACAACATGAGCCTCTCCATATGCAAATCTCAGCTACTTCACGCAGCCCTGTGCTGTGCGTCGAGATCCGACACGGCAGGTGCCTGAGCGCTCGGAGAAGTTACCGAGGTGGCATAGGGACAGGATTCCGAGGATGTGCTGCACATTCCTACGTTGATAATTTATCTACAGCTCGTTCGTCTAATATCTTCACTACTAGATATCCAGCCTGCTGCTATAGCTCAGCCAGTCAACAGGCATCCATATCAGCCCCCATCGCCCGACACTTTGTCATGGACATATTCCACGAACGCCTCAATGCCGCAATCTTATATTTTATCTCTAGGATTTTTGAAGAGGCTGACCGCGCTCACTCATAATTTAGTGTCCTTGGAGGTCCCAACCAAAGTGATAACCGGACCTTTAAGCAGGCTTGTTGTATCACCGGTCGCCAAGCTTTACATTTCCGCCTCTAGTGATCTCGTCGAGGCAGTCGCACTTAGCATACAGCCCAATCACTATGACGTTTTATCTTCCATAACCTCGATTCACGTAAATCGCTGGTGCCGAGCTACCGTTTTAGACCTTGTGCTTCAATCCTTGAGCGAACCCATTACGGTCCCATCCCCGCTGCGTCTCTCCCTCGCGCATCCAGCCGAGCCTATCCGCGGTAAGAGCTGCCACCCTGGCGAAGAGCGTTCCGTCGAGCATTTCCGCGCCTTGCAGGTCAGTGTGTGCAAACGCTCCAGGCTCCGTACCACCGTAGCACTCGGCAAAGTGCATGAGCGAACGCTGCGTCTTGCAGAGGTGCTCGTCAGGATGCACGAGCGTCGTCTGGACGATCGGCAGCCACGGATTCGGCGCCGCGGAGGGCACAAGGGTGTCCTTAGCCGCGGCAGGTTGGGTGCCGGGAGGCGATGGGTAGAGCGATGTGTTGGCGTAGAAGTCTTTGATGGGGAGCGCAGGGCGGCCGCGTATCGTATACGTGAGGAGGAAGAAGACGAAGTACGCGCGGAGGAGAAGAACGGCAGAATTGAGACTGAGGGTGTTGAGAACAGACGCGGTCATCAATGAAGAGGTGACGCCGTGCATGCTGTCGAGACATGTGAGCGGTAAGTGTTGGTTGCCCTAGAACGACGCGGAACGCGACTTACAAGAGGAAGTCGCCGTTGAATTTGCCTTTCTCGTCCTCGCCCAGTGCTCTGCCGGCCCAGCCCCCGACGCCATAGATCACGGTATTCATCCAGACGAGCTCCTCGAACTTCCTCTTCAGAACATCTCGGTCCGGTACGACAGTCTCGGTCCATTCTTCAGAGTACTTCAGAAGCTTATTGTCGGCTCGACCGAGAACAACACTATATCTCGGGGCCAGACCGGCTAGACCTGTGAAATCAAGATTCTCCGGCGCAAAGTCTATGTCTTTCTCTATGCGCGATAAGATGGAAAGGGCGTGTACGTCGGCCGATGGGGCGCTTGAACCCACAACACCCGCGGCGGAGACGACGAGCGAGCTGAGTCGAGAGGCAAGGGTGTCTGCAGACCCCACGTTGAAGAATTCTGGGGTGAATATTTCTTCTATGTCGAGTGTGTGTACTGCGGTCTGCGCCAGACCTGCGATACAACCTTGTCAGCCTACAAGACCCCAGGACGAGAGACATATATTGCATACCTTCAACAGCCAGGCCAGGCAGACCAAACTCAACTCCGTAGCCAGTGTGGATCAACGGGTGGAAGAGGCTTGAATAGAAGCGGCCAAGCATGTACGGCTTTACTCCGTTCTTGCCCGCAACAAGGTTCGCGTCTGTGGAGAAGACGTATTCTTCCAGAATGGCTTGGAGTCCTTTGCTTTGCGGCGACAGGAGAAGCCGGGAGAAGAATGACACATAAGCTTGATAGTATCTGCATCAACGGAGACATCGCTCAGTGGGGAATGGAAACGATACTAGAGACATACTTTTCATTTCCAACATGCTCTTTCCAGTTCTTCTCGTCAATTGTCGCGGCGATGAAATGGTCCTTGGCAGGCCGCTGGTACGCGACATGGGTCTGGTATGCTTCTCGTATCACTTCGGCACTCGCGCCCATCGTGTAGATTGCCAGAAGATGGTGCGATGCATGACTATTTCAAGGCCGCTGTCAGCGAGGATAAATATAGAAAATGGACGGAGACACTACTTGTGTAAACCTCCATCTTGGAAGAATATGTGGAATCGCTGGTGATTGTCCTTGAGACATTCGAGGACGGCCTGAGTAGACTCGTGAGTCCAGCCAGCCAGGCGGGTGGGGCTGGATACGATGGAGGGTGACACAAGTGCCAGCTTAGGGAAGCGAGCGTTGAGTTGCTCAGGGCTTGCGTCCATGTCAACTATACGAGTGTAGTAGCTGGAGTGCTGGGGTCGGCCATAGTCTTATATTCACGCAGAAGGCTGTTTGTAATGTCGTTCGTAATTGTGTTTACAACTCGACGACGTCACAACACCTCTTCACTCCATATCAGAGCTGCAGCGAAACATTGTGGGCTCTGAGACACTCTGAGACAATCTCTGCAGGGCGTCTAGAAGCGTCGCGATCTCTGATCTCAGATGCCGGCCCGCGCGTCCTTTCAGTGCCGGTCAGCACTTGTCCTCTGCGCCCATAGCACTGTCCTTTTCGATCCACTACTGAACAGTCTTTGCTCAATTGTCGAAATTGAAGCACATCGCCGTTGTCGAGAAGCCCGTGCAGCGCGAGTCCCTTCGGCACAGCCCAATACATCAGGGCCAGTTACAACGGAAGCGTGTATGGCGGGGAGATTGGTGAGTTGAGTGGCATCTTAGAACGTACCACGTATTTTGTCCCGCCAAGAATTCTCACCTGCTGGCCGTTTGTAGATGTGTCTTCACATGCAATTTCGGTGAATGCACCCGCGAGGAAGCCTGGTGCGTCCTAATCAGCCTACCGTAAGTGTCTGCCTCGAGCTTTGGGAGACTATTTCAGTCGTGAAAGTGAACGTGCGCGGTGCACAGATGTAGTACGAAGCTCACTGTTCGCCATAACGTGCAATACGGTTAAGCATCACGTGAGGCAATGGCCCAGTCTCGCGCAGTAAACGCCTTGCTCAACACAACAGATGCAGCCAGAAGCCTGTAAGTACTGAAAATCGACGATGTATCACTTTGTGCTGCAGCTGGGAAAATATAGTGGCGGTCAAGTTCAACGCCACAGCGGCTGGCTCTGGCAGGTTACATTTTGCGTTCTGGTGACCAGGGAGGCGGATGTGGCCTCCAAGCATGAGCAAGACAACCTTGGTGACAAGGGGCGAAATGAGTTCATTTTTTGCATATATAACGCATGTCAGCAGTACTCGGCTGTGTGCGTCGCTGGTTGAGTTTGAACGCTCTGAGTTACAAGCGCTTCAAGTTTGCGCCGACGGCTTTGTGGCGTTCGAAGGTTATATTTTTCCGCACCATGCTAGACGATGATCCACTATTATACATAGAGTACATGCCAGAACTATGTATTGATATGTTATACTTCAGGCCTCGAATAACCCCTTGAAGTCCCAGCCGCGTTTCTCTTCACCCTCGCGCATCCAACCAAGCCTATCCGCAGTCAGGCTCGCAACCCGGGCAAACAAGGTGCCGTCCAGGACGTCCGCACCATCCAGGCCGCATGACGCAAAGGCACCAGCATCCAGGCCTCCGAAACACTCCGCGAAATGCAGAAGCGCGCGCTGGGCCTTGCAGAGATGTTCGTCCAGGTGTACGAGCGTCGTCTGGATGATCGGCAGCCACGGGTTTGGCAACGCGAACGGTTCGAGGGTTTCCTTTGCAGCCTGTGTCTTCGGACCTGGAGGCGAGGGATATGGCGATGTTGATGTGTAGAATTCTTGAATCGGAATGGCCGGCCGGCCACGCGCGACGTAGAGGACTAAAGAGAATATAAAGTAGGTGCGAAGCAGAAGAGCCGCTGAGTTAGCGCTCAGAGTGCTGAGGAGAGGAGCCACCATGAGCGCGGATGTTACTCCATGCATGCTAGAGAATATAAGCAAAAGGACCTGAAAGATGTACATCAACCTTACCAAAAGAAGTCAGCGTTGAAGCGTTCCTGTTCGTCCCCGCCCAGAGACCTGCCTCCCCAGCCGCCGACCCCATAGACGACCGTATTCACCCAAACAATCTCCTCAAACTTTCTCACCAAGACGTTGCGTTCCGGACGAACAGTCTTCGTCCACTGCTCGGCGTACTCCATGAGTTTCGCGCCAGCATGATCAACGACCAGATCAACGCTCTTCTGCAGTTGCTCGCGCGGTACGGGCAGGCCTACGTTCTTTGCCTCAAAAGCCGGCTCCTTTGCAACTCGCGCTAAGACAGACAGGGCATGGACATCTGGAGGCGGAACATCGGATCTGGAGGCAGGAGTGGGGAAGTGCAAAAGAGAACTAAGCCTGGAAAGGGGTCCAGATGCAGACGGAGAGCCGAAAAACTTGGGTGTGAATACAGACTCTGCTTCGACGCGGTGAGCAGCAGCCTGCGCCAAACCTATGACAGTTGGTCAGGCAACGAGACACGAGCGCGGAAAATGCTTGCTCACCTTCCGCAGCTAGCCCGGGCAACCCGAATTCTGCACCGTAGCCAGTATGGATGAGCGGGTGCAAGAAGCCAGCGAGGAACCGGCTGAGCATCACCGGTTTTGTGCCGTTCTTCCCTAGAACGAGATTCGCATTCGTGGAGAAGATGTAGTCATCCATGACGCTTTGGAGGGCGTTGTGGGTGCCCGATAAGAGTAGTTTGGAGAAGAAAGCAACATATGCCTGGTAGTATCTGGAGCGAACGGGCACGTGTCAGAGTGCAAGAGGTATAGCAGATATTGAAGCGAACCGCTCGTCTCCCAAGAAGTCCTTCCAATTGGACTCTGTGATAACCACCGTTTCTTTCGTGCCTGTGGTCTCTGGCGCTAGAAACGCAGGGCGCTGATAAACGGTATGAGTCTCGTACGCCGCCCGTATCACCTCGGGGCTTGCACCCATGGCGTATATGGCTAAAAGATGGTGTGACGAGTGGCTACATCAATTTTTTTTACAGTTAATGCATCATTGTATGCCTCAGGAACTAAAGATGCACTTGTGGAACCCCTTGTCATTGAAAAAGATATGGAACCGCTTGTGATTGTCTTTGAGACATTCGAGCACCGCCTTGGTGGACTCATGCGTCCAGCCTGCCTGGCGGACCGGGCTGAGCACGACAGATGAGGGAGGGGAGGACGGCTTAGGGAACCGGATATTGAGTTGTTCGGAACTCGCATCCATGGTGATACTGGCAGGAACACTAGCCTGGCGTGAGCGGGCGCTGTATAAATGCGCACCCTCAGCCTGGGCTTAGTAACGGACAACATACCGGGAGACGTGACCATGTCATGCGAGTCGCCCGCAGCTACAACTGAATAGCCCCTAAGGACTTGATCAGCAGACTCCACGCTTGGGATCTCCTAATGTCATTTTCAACTGCCGTCGCTCATCATCCGGCACCGCCCATTGCCAAAAACGTGGACGGACAATGCGAACCATTACAGCGAATCTACGGCAGTAGACACGTTGCCGCTTTTATTCCCACCCGCTACTTCGGTTTTTCGCAGGCTTATCAACGCCGTGAGCTCGAAGATGCCGGTGAGTCCTAGACGTGGTCGGCAATACCAACACGCATTCAGTGAACGTGAGATTTAGTGGCAGAACATGGAGGGCCGCGACGCAACGAAGCCAACTTGAAGTCTATCATCTACCGGCAGTTTGTCACCAGAGTGCCACGTGGCGCATTGCTTAGGTACGGCATCCTCGTCCACAGCTGGTCCGAGCTATCCTAGAAGATAAAGCGTTTACTGATACTTAGCTATTGCACCATCGGCAGTAACTTCACCCTTACCTTCCTTCCTCTTGTAACATATACTCAAAGGCACGTTCATCCCTGTCTGCACCGATAAATGCTAGGGCAGAATCTCAAGCAATCGTGGCACCGAGGCTTGACAGTCTCCTATAGTTAATGTGGCGAAACCTGTAGGTGTCCAACCTTATTAGTCATCGTCAAGGACACGTTGACCGGGCTCGGACTCAGAGCGTCTGATCTGCGGACCTTGCTGCTTTACAGCATGCAGGGATGCCGAAAGGCATCTGATCCATCTGAATAACGAAACTGAGAGAGCGATGGGTAATCCCACATAGAACTCATCACTTGAAGAAATCTTACGGTTTGCGCTACTCGCATACACAGCCAAGGTTCTTGATTATAACAGGCACCGCCTTACTTGGGTGAGCTCCATCACTTGCGACGGGCAAAACTGTATTAAACGCATACAGATCGTCGCATCCTGCCTTCAGGCACCACAGATTATAGTTCTAGGGTGAGTCGGCCGAAGCGCCATGAACGGCTGCCACTTTGAAAAAGCTTGCGGCGGCGCCGTGCAATATGGAATGCTTCCTGCTTTCCAGACCCGGACTCTGTAAATAAGCCGTGACCCTGTGCAGTTGTATCTCGAGATGACGGACCTTGTGTAGGGCGTAGTGTCAGAGGCTTACGACCTCTTGCTGGACGGTTACGTCTTGCCACTACCCATGTTGGCTCGGCCAGGGAACGAGCCAGTAACGCCGGCTCGTAGATGGTTACTAGGACTGCAAATGCTTAGCGATGCGGCATGGCGGCTTATGGCGGTGCCTTGGAGATTGCCCGGAGAGCTCTGTCTCAACACAGGTGTCATACATATCCTGTGTGTCTCTTCCAACGTAATGCCACACGATGCGCAATGCTCTCATTGGCTGAAAGCATCCAATCCTGGGTGTGTCCGCACCATTCCCCCGCGTCTTCGGAGGCTCCGTCAGCATTTGTCAGATGATCACTTATTCAACAACGCTCGTATCACAGCGAGAACGTCAGCGCGAGATGGGGACGTACAGATTGCCTGGCTGAACGTACGGCGATGCTGTGCCCGCATCAGGCCGCATTGTGCTACGCGTCGACTCCGCTCCAGTGAAGGTGACATCGGGAGGGGGCTATGGCTGAATGATTCTTGAGGTTGCGAAGCGGCTAGCGGACCAGGGTCCAAGAGAGTTAGCCTTCAGAGGAACAAAGGTGTGTGGATTGGATTACGCCGTCGACGGTCTGGATCCAGCTCTGAGAGCCTTTCGATATGAATTCCGTTGGGAGAGCTTATTGACCCGACAAATTTCCAAGAGGATGAATTTTAGGGTTGTACCTCTCTGTCGCTCATATGTCTAGTATGCGATCTCTCCGCAGATTTGCCAGTTTCCCGGTTATTTTTATAACAAGAAACCCGTATTATCAACGGCACGGCTAGTTGTCTGACTGCGGATGATGGTCGCATGGGGGCTTCCTAGACAGCAGCCAGGTGCCATACGGGGGCACACGCCCTGCGGAGGTCCCAGATATAAAACGGGAAGGGCAAGGAGATCTCCTTGCTCTTTTCGAGATATTTTCTGAAAAGGTGAGATAACTCCCGAAATAGGGTTCTCGTTACCGACCTCTGGGCGTCTGTCTCCAAGACCTCTGGGGATAGGCGCTTTTGGGCTCTTAACAGCACGCAGGACAAGACAACGAACGCACAACGAACGCTTTGGGCCCAGGTCTCACGAAATTCGCAATACCAAACTTGAACTGACCCTGACGCTTTCCTCCGCAAATGACCCCGCAAACGACGCATTCACTTTTCTTCTTCCCCCAACCACCATCTGGTAGAACGCCCAAGCCATCTGCGTTTCCAGTCTGCGGCACCGACGCGTCCTCCGACGTTCCCCCTGCCTGCGACACTCCGTCACACGACTTTTGCAGTGTCCTGTCGTACGCGAACCTCGAGGACGATTGCCATATTCGCTGGAGCGTTGCGGTCCATGCTGGAAAAACATTAGGAAAGGATCCTCCTGTGAGCGTCTCGTCTACTTCGCTTTGCTTCATGGTTTGTCCCGTAATCCCTTCTCGTCTATGCTGCGAGCTGGATAGTATGTTCGGCCTCAGTATAAGACAGAATACGTCGAAGATCTCTGTCCGGAGTCAACCTTATTTCGCGCTTCGCTCTAACTACGCGTGCATCACCCCCACGCGTGGCCGTTAAGCCAAGCCATTCTCCCGTTCTTCTGCTTCTCCTGTCCCCTGGTCTTACTTTCGGTCGTGCTAGATTTATTCGACCGCCCGGTCCTGTGAGACCTCACTCCCTCCATCACCCACCCTTTCATCTACTTCTCCAAACAGTTTGCTGCTGGACTTTGGCAGTTCCCCACCCTCAGCTGTCTCACAAACTCCGGACCAACCCACCATGGTCAAAAAGCGTCGCTCATTACAAGCCATTCTAATCCCTCCATTCTTTCACCCTTCTATATCATCTGAAGAGAACGTGTCGCCGCCGAATGCGGTCCAGAGGGTGCGCTCTCAGTCCGCTGCGGCAACCACAACAGAATTCGTATTACCTCCTGCGATCCCCATAGCTGCCTCTACTAGCTCCTCGTCTAGCAGCAGCGAAACACCAAGGCACTCTCCGCCATCAGATCTTCTGGATGATGATCCATTTGCGAACCTATCTCCGGGTCCCACTGCTCTTGTATTTGACGAATCCACCGTTCCTCTGCGACGCTCCTCTTCGGTGCTGACGGGCGTCGCACTTGATGCTGGCGCGCTGCCTTCCCTGAGGTCTCCACGGGTCACACCACGGTCGCCACTAGTGCACAGCGTCGTTGGTTTGGATGACGACTACTCGAACATCGATGCTGGCTCGCTACCTCCTCCTGCCCCGCCTCCCCCAACCCCTGTCCCCGCTCGACGAGCTGCTACAGTCCTTCCTCGACCTAGGTCTTCTGCTAGTCACGGCCAACCACGTCCAGCACATACTCGTCCAGCATTCTACCCCCGGCCTTCCTTGCCTTCCCTATATACCTTGGCCCAGATAAATGTCGTAGCTCCAAAAGTGAGTTGTACCTCGATGATGCACACATCAATTAGCTGACTGTCCGATCATATATAAAGGTGAAACGTGGTCGTGTAGGAGCAAAATTGCCCGCTGAACCATGGTCAATGATTGACTCGCTCCCCTCTGGTCTAGCGGGACATAGCTATTCCATGTCCCCTTCCGGCTCCAGTTCTGTCACGGATTCTGACATGCTAGTGCAAGAACCCGAATCTTACGACTCTCCTGATGATAACCAGGAGAGCGAGCCAGACGTGTCGAGAGAACGTGCCTCGTTTTCAGAATCCGATAGGTCTACTCCTTATATGTCTGAAGCCGGAGATGTCCAGACCCGCGCGAGTATCATAAGTCAGTCTTCATTTGATGCATACCCGTCAACTCTTATACCCTTCGAAACCTTCGATACCCATATACCTCGGGGCGTGGAAGATGATCATAGCTCGCCAGAGCCGTCGTTTCCTCCAACGCCGCAGTTCACTGCAGACACACCAGCATTCTTGAACTTGGGCTATTCGTCCGTGTTTTCGCAGCAATCGAGAACCTCTATTTATGAAGACCTTTCCGCCACGTTGGAATACGATTATTCTCAGGCGGTCTCACAGTTCTCGTCTTCTGCTTCCGAGCAAGATGCCGTGTCTTCTTCGCCTTCGCTCGGGGAAAGCGCGCCCTGCGATTTCCAACCCGGCAGCTCGGTCCAGACCATCCGTGCGTATAACCTACACGACCCGCCATCACACTTCCGTTCTTCGTCTTGCCAGGATGGCACGGCGCAGGAGCTTTCGCACATGGATACTCTTCCTCTCTCACCCACCACAATCGGGGCCAACATCGACGCCCCGAGCCGCACTTCCTCTGGGTCAAGTGCGTACGAGGACGACGCCGACTTTTTGACTGTTTACAGCGACTCGAGCGACGAGGAGTACCTGACCGCGCCGTTGTCAAGGTCACCTTCTCCCACAGCTGGGTTGCCACCTCTCGAAGGGTCTGCGGCCCAATGCTTGCAGCTACCGTACGCTGAAGAGCACGAGCTGAGTGAAAGCTCTGGCATTGACATCACGGAGCGACTATCGCGCTTGAGCATCTTCAGCCAGTCAGACACAGCCTCTAGCCGATATGTCTCCGCGCCGGAGTATGTAGATGCCGCAGAGGAAGGCTCTCGCGGAAGCAGAACCCAGTCACACCATGGCGAGTCTAGTCGTCACAGCGAAAGCAGTGATAGGCACCAGGGGACTTCTTCGAGCTATGGCGGCGGACGCGCAGGGGGTATGGGGTTTGGCGGGGGTTCCGGTGGTGGGCGCCGCGACCGGGACGGTGACGACGATCGCTACCGACGACCTTACCCACGAAGCGCAGCTCCTGACTACGCCACTCCGGAGACATCCGAGGAAGAGGACAGCTCCGACGAAGACGAGAGTGGGCGGCCAAAACTGTCTCGTCGCCAGGGCCGTCGCGCTTCGTCTAGTGAGGGGGACGACGTCCCTCTGGCTCAGCAAATTCCTAGCGCGCTTAGGGCGCAGCGATCCATTCGGATGCAGGTGCGGGATGAGGCCGTTCAGAAGCGAAGAGCGAAAAGTCTTCGTCGTCCTGGCTCCTCAGGCCACTCAGCACCAGATCCGCAGCCTGCATTGCCCACGCAGAGGGTCACTCCCGACCATTCTGCTGGGGTGCACGTCTCGAGAGCTCCTTCGACATCCCGTGCGCTACCTGTACTCCAAGAACCTCCTAAACCCACGGGTCGTCCTCGAACCAAGACATTGCCCAGCCAAGCGGGTGGCAGCCCATTCGCCGTCGGTGACCTCACTAAAAAGTTGCTCAATGTGCATACCGCCCCGCCTCTTCCCCATTCACCTATCTCCCCTGCGAGGTCTTCACATGACCAGCAGGGACCGCAGTCACCGAAGCAATCCACCAGCCGCCTTCCCAGCCAGCCCGATCAATACGCAAACCTGAACCCTGCCGCGCAAGATGTCTCTATCGCGCTCCGCCTGCGGAACATGCGCTCCTTCCATCGCCCACGGACTACAGGCGGTGAGTCTGAGCCTCCACCGCCCACTCCATCTGCGGGGGCGCAGCTAGGGCGTAGCAACACGGGCGCTACGCGCCGCCCGCAGCCGCCCGATTCGCAGCCCGCGAAATCCCTGCCGCAGAATGCTGCGCCGAGCCTCGAGAGGGCAAGATCGACCCGCTCGCAATCGCGGCGACCGAGCGTCGACAGATCGGCGCGGCCCTCAGTGGACCAGGACGCCCGGACGCCCATGCCGCCCATGCCGACGGTGGTGAAGACGCCTGCGTGGCAGCAGCGCGTGTTCGTGGGCACCCTGCAGCGGTTCTCGCAGGTGGAGATCACGGCTACGTCGACGGCGCGGGACGTGCTCGAGATACTGCAGAGCCAGGCCGCTCTGGAAGATAGCGTTGCCAACGGGTGGATGATGTGGGAGGTCTGTCAGGACTTTGGCATGGGTACGTTGCAAATGTTTACTGTAACGATAGTGTGCTCATCATCTGTATCGTAGAACGGCCTATCCGGAGCTTCGAAGTTCTGTCGGACGTTACGAACTCCTGGGTCACAGATAAGACCGTGAACATTCTGATGGCCAAGAAGACTCTGCTTGCCCCGAAACTCAGTCGGGCTGTAAGTTGCATCTTCGTACATGCCGCATTGCTTTACTAACGGTCATATAAGGCTATCCCGTCGAGTTCCCCGGTTTGTGGAGGCTTTGTGCAATGGGAGCACAAACGTGGCAAGTGGCAAAAGCGGTGGCTCGAGCTCAGAGAACATAGCTTGTGGTTGTCCAAGCGCGACACTGTACGCCGAAGTTTCATGCTCCTCCGGGCTTGCACTAAATTTGCTTCATTGCAGGGCAAGGACCAGATTCAGCTCTGTTCCTTGAACAACTTCGACGCGTATATTGTCACCCGCATCAACAAAGCCCCCAAACCTTACGTCTTTGCGGTCAAGTCGACAGATAACATCTCTTTCTTCGAGAGCACATCTGACTACGTGCATATCTTCTCATGCGACAAAAAGGAGGGAGAGAATTGGGTCGAGAAGATTCTCCTCGCTCGCGTGAGTGCCACTTTTTGTCGGCCCTCCTTGACCTTGGCTGACACTTGATATCTAGTCCTACATCCTACATCAGGACCGTAACGTCTTGTCGACGGCCTCCACAGCTATCACTTCAGGCGCGTCGCTTTCCCGCTCCGGCACGCGCAAGCGCCCTGCGCAACCTCTAGTCAACTTCGGTGCCGCACAAGGCACGGTTACAGAGCCACCTCCGGTTGCCTTCATACCAGGCTCGCTCTTAGCTAAAAATCCGTAAATAGACTTTTGACCTTTCATTCATCTTTATTTCCTGGCAAACTAGTCGCTCTTTCTTTACCCGTATCGTCCTTTCTGGTCATTGCTAGCCTCACATTCGTTTCTCTAGACATCCTAGCATCGTCGCACTGTATCGAGAGCTTGTAAATCAAATCAGAGCATGGAATCGACATCGAGAGCACACCACAGCCGTGGATCGAGATGTGGATTGATACAAAAGGTAAGCGATAGCATAAGGAATAGGGGCTGAGCAAACGGTCCAGGGGTGGAGAGAATAGACAAGTTTAATCCGAAGTTTTCTTCTGCTTCTTCTTAACAGGTCCCTCTTCTGGCTCACTTGCCTTGGGTTTTGCCTTGGGTTTCGGCTTCGGCTTCGGCCTCGGCTTCTCCTCGTCGACGTCCATGGCCTCGTCGTCGGAACCCTTCTTTGTCGGTTTGGGTCTCGGCCGTGGGGCCGCCTTCTTCGGCTTTTCGGGCTTTTCGTCCTCCTCACCGTCGCTATCCTCTGACTTGGCTTTGGACTTCTTCGCAGATGCCTTCTTTGCGAGCGCTTTGCCCTTGCTTTTGCCTTTTCCGAGGAACTCACGGTCACCGCTCGCATCTGAGGCGGTCTCGCCGCCATCTTCGTCCGACGAGGTGTCGGTCGGCGAGCCAGAGTCTGAGCCGTCCGCCTGGAAGTCTTCATCTACAAGTGACGCGGTCAAACTCAAGGACGTCTCCATACGCGAAATAGTGCTCACCTTCCTCGCTGTCTTCGTCGTCGTCCAAGCCACCTGTTCTCGGCTTTGGCGCCTCCTCGCCGTCGCTCACGACGCTCTGCATCTCGTCATCGTCATCGTCGACACCCATGATTAGCTCACCCTCCATCATCTCGTTCTTAACCTTGACCTTCTTCTCTTTCAGGTACTCCTCGGTCACCTCGTGCTCCTCCTTGTTGATAGAGGTGAAGGTGAATTCAGGACCACTCTTAGTGACGATCTTCAAGTCAAATGTACGGGCAGCAGTTGCACCAACACCGGCACCGAGACGCGAGAAGACGATCTGGTGGATGTCCGAGAGGTCGATAAGGGTAGGAGTTTTTGATACGAAGAAGATGTATTTCTCAAGCAAGAAAAGATCGCCTTGGACAGCCTTCAGGTTAGCCTTCAGTGCCGGGTGACCATCTCGGCTGTATACACTATTAGTATATATTTAACCAGATACAGCTAGTGGCGCACCTCTGAAAGCTGCCAGCACCGATAATCTTTCTGCCAGACAAAGCGCGGAACACACCAGAGACGACTTCAAAGGTAGGCTCGTCATACGATTTTTTCAGGCGGTCATACTTCTCGACTTCCTCCTCGGGCATGTTGAGCTCGGCGGTGCTCTCTTCGTCCCTGCTAAATTGCATGACCAAGTACTGGTAACGAGTCTGACCTTGACGAATGGGCGTGCTAAGACCAAGCTGCATTGCGCAGCTGATCAGCAATAGCTGAAGATATTGAGACGCAGCAACACTCACAATGAACAGGACATGCATATCGTCCTTGGGAAGAAGGAAGAGCTTGGCAATGGTGGTGTAAAGTATCTTGTAATCATACGTCTTACCGCGCAAGCGCAAGAAGTCGCGGAACATGTCCACATCGTAACGGCCACGGGGTGTGAGGACAAGGACCTCTTCAAAGCTGAGGATGATGTCTCCAGTAACCTGGCCAATCTCCGCCTTCTCCTTGATCACGTCGTGGAATGCCTGTGCAGCACTGATCTCTTCTCCCTCGTCTTCGGAATTTTGTGAGCCTTCCTCTGATCCGCGTGCTTCCTTCGTGTGCGTGCCGGGCACGTAGAAACGAATTTCAGTCAGTTCGTCAGGTCCATGGCGGGACGCTTTCTTGTCCACTTGGGCTGCCACTGGGTACTCGAGAGAGACCTCTGTTCGACCAGCGATGTTAGAGTTCGCGACCTTCGCCAAGGGTAGTTCAAAAGCAGTCTTGTTGGAAACGAGAAACACAAGGTCTTGGCCTAGGAGACATATGTCAAATCGCGTAACTCGAATGGGACGAAGGCTACTCGCCTTGGAAGTCGGTCATGCCCCAATTCCAGCCCTTCACTGACGCCTCCTTCGTTTCCAACACGATGCTGAAATGTTGTTTTAGCAACTGTGCAAGCCTGTCGTGGTCATCTCGCGCAAAACCATCGAACGTCTCCCTCTTCCTGTCCGCGTTCTTCTTGTCCTTATTGCCGAGACCTATTCTCAACTGGTAGTTCCGTGCGACACGGATCCACTGTGCCCACTTCATCTCGTCTTGTGGAATAGCTATGGTCTGTTGGCTATCTTCTCCTCTCCATGCCATTCCACTGACCGCGATACGCAGCTCTACGGACCAAATCAATTAATGCCCCAGGCACATACGACGAGATATCTGACTTACTGCCAGCCTCCGGAGAGAGTCCATGATATATATTGTCGAACTGAGTCGTCATTTTTATCCTGGTCGTGAACAGGCGTGAAGGAAAGTGGTGGTTTGTATGAAAGACGGTTGACGCTCCAAACGCGCCGGAAATATTGCTCTACGCGTCTGGGCGTCTGCCACAAGTCGTTTCTTCGTCCTGCGCTCATCTTGACACGCTCTTTACGCCCAGAGGTCTCCCGACACAATCCTTAGACAACAGGGGCAACGAAGAAATTAAGCTGTATACATTGTGCAATATCTTGTAGCAAACAATGGATTCCCTGGAGGCCCGTTCTCGGAGTGTGCAAGAACGGACATTCTGCAAATGGTTCGCCGTATCGCGCTGCACGATGACCATATTATTGACTCTATTGCAGGTTAAACACGAAACTAGAGTCGGCCGGGTACCCAACTATGACATCCCTCGTGAAGGATCTTTCTGACGGCGTTCGGCTAATTCAGCTCATGGTGAGCAGCGCGCCCACCTGCCTGCTCAGTGATGCTGACTAGTTGGCATAGGAAATTATGGGTCGGTCTCTCGTGCATGCTTTGACATAAGGGATACTCATATCATCGCAGGTGATACCTCGCTTGGGAGATACAACAAGAACCCGCGCATGCGAGTACAGAAAGCGGAAAACGTGAACAAAGCACTGGAGTTTATTACGTCCCGAGGCGTGAAGCTCACCAATATCGGCCCTGAAGGTATGCCTTCCATGACATGAGATAGTGTATTACGCTTTATGCGAGCGACCAGATATCATCGACGGCAATCTCAAGCTCACTCTCGGAATGATATGGACCCTGATTCTTCGTTTCACCATTGCGGATATCAAGTATGCTTGTTCATCCTGTATTTTGAATACAACTGATACCAACATCCGAAAGTGAAGAGGGTTTGTCAGCGAAAGAAGGCTTGCTGCTCTGGTGTCAACGCAAGACCGCACTATACAAAGAGGTCAACGTCCAAGACTTCACCGTCAGCTGGTCAGACGGCCTCGCACTGTGCGCGCTCTCGCTCTCCCCTACGTATCTATGTTTACTTAAAATGTTTAAGGTGTGCTTTGATCCATTGCCATCGACCTGACCTACTGGACTACAACAAGCTCGACAAGGTATGTGTTCTATGCACGTTTTGGTCCTGCGCCTCATTAATCTCTTTCAGGCGGACCGTCATCGAAATACCCAGCTTGCCTTCGACGTCGCTGAGCAGCATCTTGGTATTCCGGTGGGCCTGTGACTTGCGGAGTCATTGACTTGTGGCTCACTTCTTCTCAGCAACTCCTGGAAGTAGCAGATCTGTGTGACGTCGCTCGTCCAGATGAGCGCTCCGTGATGACATATGTTGCAAGCTATTTCCATGCTTTCTCTACCATGGGTGGGTTGTATCATGTCTGTTCTCAGCTCCTGCGTCTGACTCTTGGTATGCAGACCAGGCGGAGACGGTGTCTCGACGAGTCGAGAAGTTCGCGGAGCTTATGCAATCTGTATGGCTTAGTAAGAATGACTACGAGCGTCGCGTCCGAGCGGTGCGTACACCACGCTCATCTGACTTAGATTGCTCATTCGAGGCCGGTATCCAGCTTTTATCGTCAGTACTGGAGATTCAGGCACTCTGGGCCGCTATCAAGTTCACCGGCACATACGTCGACGCAAAAGAACATGCCAGCAACTTCCAGAAGTACAAGCAGACGACAAAACGGCAATGGGTCACTGAGAAGCAGGATGTCTCGACGCTATTTAGTAACGTTCAGACGAAGTTGCGGACCTACGGCCTACGAGAGTACGTTCCGCCGCCGGGCCTTTCGTTAGCTGTATGCCCCGCTTTCCCGGTTTACTGCGGATTGCACTGATGACTTCCGCCTGTAGGATTTGGATACCGCCTGGAAGGCGCTATTATCATCCGAAGCGAAGCGATCACGAGCCATTAATGCCCAAATTAGAGAGTACGAATACAGTTACGATTTCTTCTAAAAACCATTGACACACCTGTAGGATAAAGGAGACGCTGCGCAAACATTTCGCTGACCTGGCAAATGACTTCGAGAAACGGCTTCATACAATTTCGTCGGAGCTCGCCTCCATTGAGGGCCCATTGGAAGTACGCAGACTGTTCTCTCCGCGATTTATGCTCGCTGATATGCGTTGCTCTCCATAGGAGCAGCAAGAACAAGTGCGCAAACTGCAGACTCGGCTGCCCACACTAGCAGAAAAGCTGGCCGAGCTTGCAAATGCTGAGGAAGATTGTCAGGCTGCTAACGTGGACGAGAATGACTACACTGTTTTTACTTTCGCTGATTTGGAGTTTGAGCACGAACTGGTCGTGCAAAGTATCTTGAAGAAGCTTGCATTCGTTGATAACCAAGTCGGTGGCGGCTCATTGCGTCAAGCACTTCCGTCCTGACGATAATTGCACAGATTGTATCACACAACATGACAAACCTCACCCCAGCGCAGCTCGAACAATTCGAGACCACGTTCCGCTACTTCGACAAAGACGAGTCGAACACGCTCGAATTGGCGGAGATGACGGCCGCCCTGGCCAGTCTAGGTATCATATACCCTGTGTGTAATGCATTATTTACACAGTGAATGTTCCTTATATTGCCACCCACAGGAAGAGGATATGTACATGATCCACGACCAGCTCGTACAAGACTACGGGGCGGTCTCTTACGAAGCATTCATCAATCTTCTGGTTTGTTCGGCACCGAATCTTTGTGGCACACTCACTCATTCTTGACGATATCTGTAGGTTGAGATTACCGAAGATCAGACGTCTCCAGCCCAACTACGTGAGTCTTTCCGTGGGATCGCGCAGGATAAGGTGCGTTTATCTGCCTATCGTGTCTCTTTCTGTGCTCACCAAGCATGCCAGCCGTTCGTTACAGAGCTGGATCTTCGACTCGCGCAACTCTCGCAGAGTAGTGTCGATTATCTGCGACAGGCAATGCCACCTGCATCCAACGACGGCGAGCCAGCGTACGATTACGAGTCGTGGTTGGATGAAGTTTTCTCATAGTTGTCGGGTGTAATCTATGATTCTTTTAGTTAGTTGGCTAGAGTATGACTCATGACTGCATGAGGTGAGACAAGGGCATATGTTCTGTAACATTTGTAGCACTAGTACAATAACAAGTAGATTATCAACAGCAGTCATGCACAACATAGACGAACACAAGGGACACGACTAATGAAGACGAATACTACTCAATGGTAATCGGCAGATAGTACATGTTGCAACGGCGACCTTCGTCGCGGTCTACTTGGGCGAAACAAGTGCGGCCAAAGTGCCTCCGGATGCCTCAGGGTATGCTGGGCACTGTTGTCATGAAACTGACAATTGGACCAGTCTACGACAAAGTTGTGATTCTGGAACATGCTAACTACGGCAGGGATGCTTGCTGCGGACGCGACGTGCATGACAGATCCAGAAAAATCGAGCGACCTGAGGGCGGGGCGCTGTGCACACCAGGCCGCGAGGGTGGTTACCGCGTCGCTTTCGAGTTTCGCACGTACGCCAAGCTGCGCGAGCTGTGGCCAACCCTCAGCCCCCGCGATCAGCGTGTGGTTCTGTAGCATCTGTGGGAGGAGCACCGAAGTGATGTCGCCGACGAGGGAGAGCGATTCGATCGAGGGAACCTGCAGACAGGCTGCGAACGAGCGTGGGTGCTCGGTCCAGATGGACGGTAGTGTCTCGTTCTCTTCCGAGACAATCTCCAATTCCCTGAGTGGCGTATGCATATTGCGCAAGAAGCTGCAGAGCTCGCTTAGCGCTGGGTGGTAAAGGAAACACCACGTCAATGCATATACCGTGCGGCCTCCCGCGGTTAACCCCACGAACTTGATTTCCTAGATCGTGAGCGCCGATCTCGACTCGTATTTTCGCTAATTTAGATGCGATTGCAGATGGGAGCATGCCGCCTTCAGACAGAGCGGCTTGGAAGTGATCCGGATAGAGGTCGCGAATACGGATGTCTATGGTGTCCAGAGCCCGAGCGTCTATAGAGGGGAGTAGATGTCGTATATATCCGAGCCCGCAGAAGAGTTTCAGAGCGCGGAGTGTAGGCAGCGATATCCGTTCGTGCGGATGCCTCGGGATGGGATCAGACATAGGAAACTGGGAGCGATACAGAGAGATTTCCAGATCCTCGATTTGAGGACTGTCTTGAAGGATGGAGCAAATATCGTGGTCTTGCGAGACATGACTTCCTGCTTCGCAAGAAGTGAGCCTTAATGTGGTGAGGTTGGAGTAGAACCCTCTGCTCCAAGGCATCCGGACTCCCTCAAGGCTCAGATGGCGCAGTCGAGGAGTGTACCCGGCAAAAATAGGGTGTTGCAATACAAGATGCACCTGATTGGACATGGGATTTTGTGGGGATAGCTGTAGCGAGAAGGTCTCGAGATAAGCGTATGCAAAGGCCGGGGGCGTGGCGAGGAACTCTATGAATGCGCTATCGATGTGGGCAGGTACTTGCATATTGAGTGTCTTGGCACGACATAGTAGATTCATATTGAGCTTGGAGAGCGACTCGGACAGTGGCGGATGTAAGTCAAGCCAAACTTCGAGAGGATGGTTCTTCGTTCTTTGTAGAATGGCATCTTGAAAATCGCTGGGAAGTTCAGATAACCGGATGTGGCTCCAAAGAATGGGAAGTCGAGAGATACTGCGCGCCAGTGGGAGCAAATGTGAGATATGATGAAGCACGGATGGCCTACGCCGATTTCCTGGTGTTCTCCGAGCGGAGGGGCTCCGGACACGCACATTATATAGATAATGCGCAAGACTTCCACTGGAAGCTTGTTGACAGGTGCACAGAAATTGGTGTGTCTGCGCATGCGTGCACGTAGGGTATATGCGCTGTATAAACCTGACTGCATAGATTCGACTAATTTCTCGACATGTTGCAAATCTTCAACGAGATGTTCAGCCTGCATCCGGCAATTTGGACCGGGCAGGGCGAGCCTGCGAAATGGTATACTTAGAGGAGAGAACGAGAGAACAATATGGCATCGATCCTACGAGATCATGTTTTGCTGAGTAGACGCAGACCGAACCCAGGAGTCTAGGGACTCTTGCAATGCTCGCATGCCGTTCTCAGAATCTCGCGCCATAGACCGCTACAAGGGATGCAATTCGTTAGTAGATATAGCTAGGAATAGGTTAGCTGAACTAGAGGAGTGCCGTAAATGAGATTTCTTGCAGCAGCGTTTGACGGTTGTGTTCAAACTGTGTCCGCAGCCCCGAGCGCGTGACGACTCTTTCGGCCGTCACCGCGCCACAAAGCCAGCACAAAGAACACTTTTTCGTACATCGGGACCCAGGACGCTCATATTCAGCTAAATAAAAAAAACCACATATACAGGCCTCAGAAAACATATTACTAGTTTTGAACAATCACAGAGCATCCGGGATTATCGCAGCTCATAATAACTGGGGTCTCTGTCCAGTGCATAACTCGTACGACACTACATATCAAGCCTAGTTACTGGTCGAAAATGTAAAGGGAGTGGTGGCAAATCCGACGCGAGAGTTTCCCGTATCATACACGGCATAGAATCTTTCTAAGAAAGCGTAGCCGTTGACAAAATCCAGTCCCTCTCCAGAAGGAGTCCCAAGGTCACTGACAATGAGATAGATGCTATCATTCTTGCCTCCGATGGCACTATTGAGCTAGAAAATGGTAACGATTGGGAAGCTGACAACCGGCTTCAAAGAAAGAAAACGTACTGCACGAGGCCAGAGCTGCGCATTACTGGTGAGCTCGAAGGTCGCCTAAACGGTAACGTCAGTAGATTAGGAGGCCAGCGTCGTAGAAACTACCCACATTTTCAATGATAAAGAACAGGCTTGGGAGGTTGTCAAGCTGCGCAGAGCTGATCGTCAGAAGTCCTGTTGTGCTGTCGAGGACAGCACCCGTCAGGTTCTGATACGTGGCGAAGGCGTCTATACACGTCTTCACGTTAACAAGAGTTAAGGGTTTTCAAGAAAGCGGCGGACCAGATGCGAGTTCTACTAGGGTGGTTCCAGTATCAACGATGCCAGCAGTGTTAGATAAGAGCGTCTGGTTGCCGAATGTAACGCTCTGGTTAAAGCCGACGTAATCCATAGCAGGGTATGTGGTAGTGATATTACTATGTAGAAATGAGCCCGAGGTTCGAAGCAGAAGAAGAGCGACATACGTGTATGTGAGGTCTCCGTTAAACTTGCTGGAATCCACTCCACCAAACGTCAGCTCACCGTTGGGGTCAGACGTCGAGTTTGGTGGCGCGAATGCGATCCCGACCTCATATGCGTCTAAAAGACCCAGACTCCAAGCATGGTCCGTTACTGTTGGGATCAGTATTTCAGAAGCCGTTGTCTCTGTGAAGCAGGTAAGCTACGGGCTGAACTTCATCATCAGGGGCACTTGCCCTCCGTCAGGATTGTCGGGCCCAAGCTGATGTATCATTAGCATAAGGCTGCTCTAGATAGATGTAGGACTTACCCCAGAATTCCATCTACTCCAGCCTCGAAGCCAAGCGCCCACTGGGCATCACCGATGGTCTGGTTCGGGATGCTCAGCCCTCCAATTGTCACTGTATCGTTGTATTCGAGACCTTCGATGTTATGTCAGCATACATTACACATGCTGCGCAAAGCTGTGCGCACCGATGAAAAGTCCGGAGCCATATTCAATGAACTGCACGCACTATTAGTATTAAAGCTGACGTGAATTGACAGTTGAAAATACTAAGATAGTGGAGGTCGCAGTAGATGTATTTGTGGGCGTGTACGGGTTTGAGGTATTAGCACCGATCCACGTGCTCGAGCTGCCGATATCTACGATCAGGTCGACTATATTGGCGTACTTAGCGAAGCGTGACAGCTGGTAGGCCGGAAAACACACTCACATGTCTGGGGTGGTTCACCGATCAGGACCTGGAGAGCACATCATCGGTTTGTTCGCTGCAATTGCACTAGCCCACCAACAGCTGGAACGCACCTCTGCGGTGTAAAGTACAGCAGTATTTGTGACGGGCACCGGCGTAATGCTGGAGTCCTTCTGGGCGCGCTGGGCTGCTGTCGACTTGAAAGCCTGCGCTCGCGCTTTGTCAATCTCCGGCAGCGTCTGGCCGGATGGCACGTTCAACCGTCGAGTGAGTGGTATGGATGCAGCATTATTTCGGGTATTAGTCGGGAATGCTGCTAAGAGTGCAGCGAGCGTAAGAATAGAGACTGCGAAGAAAATCATGAGTCGTATGGAGGTGGTTGGAGGGGGGCAGATCTCTGGCCTGAGGAGATAGCGAGTGCCTCTTCGTTTATATAGCATGAAGTCTTAAGAGTAAGACCGCACCGTTGCGCATTAGTCAATGATGAAAAACTCTTAGTATTGCTATTCTCGTCCCTGGATCGCGACTGAGGTCACGACGTATGACGAACTCGTACGCTGGAGATCGAGTGCCGGCCCCCGAATAGTACCGATATTGAAGAGTCAGCTGTCGTGGAACTTCACAGGTGAGCGTGCAAGTGTCTTAGAATCGTACCGTGGGGCTATATATGGCACACAGATGCGAGGATGATCCATTCGACGATAGTTGAAGTATTCTGGATTGCGATAGGTCTACGCACAAATCGCCGGACAGAGAAGCTAACGGTAAAGTTAGGACATCGTCGAGCGCGGCAAGAGAAGTGCACGCACCGCATGGATGTGGAAGACGCTTGTGGCTTCGATGGAGCAAGAGATCCCGAGACGACTATTATGCCAGGGGCAGCTGGATCTTCGTCAGCCATCCCTGTTCACAGATGACGTACTTCGATTGACGAGAGACGTTGCGGACACCGACGTATCAATACAAGATAGCACGACAGGTGCGCAAGTTGACGGACTCCGGGCCTGGCATAGGAATTCACCAAGATGAGTGGCAAATCGAATGTAGAATGCGCAAAGGCACTGATAGCCGCAGCATAGTCCACAATATATGGCACGCACAAATGCTTGATGTACTTCCCTGCCACACATAATGAAGCTCTATAACACAACACAAGTAGCAACTGAACTCATATCGCCCACTCCGCAGCCCAGACCTCCGCGTCCCAATTCTCCACAAGCTGCGGGTCATCCCTGAACTTCGCTTGGAAATCTGAAAAACCTCCGCGCAAGATGAGGATTTCATGGGGTATATCTTCTCCTTCAGCTTGCAGAAGACTACGCGTCTCGGCATAGATCTAGAGTGGCTAGATTAGCTGAGTACGTCACAAATTGAAGAGAGCCGACCAACCCTGGCGGCTTTGGGACCTCTAGTTAGAAATGAGTAAATTTTTTTATTAATGATTCGTCAAAGTACTAACCGCACTTGAGAGAGTGCACAGTGGAAGATGACCAAAGGCACATGCTTGGTATCCTTCACAAGCTCGTCCACCTTCAAGAGGAAGCCATGAGACGGCGAGTTGTGCGCCCCTTTGATATTGCCGCCGTGCCAATCGTCATCCCGGACATCGACGACACAGTAGTCTTTCCAAGGAACCCTATCGCTCTTGATGATAGAGGCAAGTTCCTAGAGCCGTCTCGACTGTCAGGATACACATGGCCAGCAAATCCGAGCGTCGAAACTTACATCAGGCAAGATATACCTGACTGCCATCGTCGGGGGAGAGCGCTTGCTCGCCGTCGCAGACGCTGTGCACCCCGATCTTGAGAACGTCACCGACTGCGGGAAGACGCGCAACGTTGGTCGGATGCAAAGCGCGCGGATAGGCCGGTGCGAGTGCCGCCAGAGGTTCATTACATAAGCTGCCGCTGACGTCCCGCGTCGCGCTCGCCGCCGTCGCCGTTGCACACGTCAGTGTCGGCCAGGAGAGGACGAATGTAGTCGGCTGGCTATGTGGAGTGTGGAGATGGCGATACCCGGTAGATTACGCGTGACCGAAGAGCTCGCTGCGAAGCTCCAGAGCCAGACCAAAGAGCGCTTGGTTCGAACAGCAAGGGTGGTTCGACCGACGGCTGCTGAGGGCGTCGCCGCCGTCAAGGAAGTAGAGAATGTCAAAGAAAAACCTTGTGAGAATGAGCGGGGGAGGTCGGGCGGCGTCGAGAAAGGACTGGCGGAGAGTCGAACGTGGGCACTGGGCAGGCAGAGGCTGGGTGTGTTTGACGCGGAAATTTCCGGAGCCCATAAAGAGCGTCAGAGGACGCCGCGAGCTTTCTTTTCAACGTTACGCACGTCGCCAACCATGTCTCTCCCGCAGCCCGTCCCCCCGTCCTGGAAGGTGTGTTTGCCGTTGCTGCTGGTAGCGAGCAATCGAGGACGCGCTGTTCTGACACGGCGCGTAGGATCTCGGCAAGTCGTCCGGCGACCTCTTGGGCCGCGACTTCTACTTTACGGGCACCAGCCTCGAGGTCAAGACGGTCACGCCCTCCAACGTCGCCTTCAAGGTCTCTGGAAAGCAGGATGACAAGACTCACCTCGTTAGCGGCGAGCTTGAGGCCAAGTACTCCAACAAAGCCCACGGCGTCGTCTTCACTCAGGCCTGGACCACCTCCAACCTCCTCCGTACCCAGGTCGAGGCAGAGAATCACCTTGCCCAGGGTCTCAAGTTTGACCTCAACACCTCGCTCGCTCCCAGCGGTACCGGCAAGAGCGCTCTTATTACCGCCATCTACAAGCAGCCGGGTCTCCACACCCGCGCTTTCCTTGACCTCTTCAAGGTGCTCAAATTTAGTCGCGTTTCTCTAGTCTGCAGCTTGACATAGCCATTCGCAGGGCCCTACCTTCACTGCCGACACCGTGCTTGGCCGGGACGGCTTCCTGCTCGGTGCTGAGGCGTCCTACAATGTCACTGAGGGCAAGGTGACCCGTTACGCCGCGGCCGTTGGCTTCAGCGCGCCGGAGTACGCTGTTACCCTGCAGGGTCTCAACAACATGAACCTCTTCTCCGCATCTTACTACCACCGTGTTTCCCCTGATGTTGAGGCTGGTGCTAAGGCCACCTATGACTCCAAGGGTACCACCCAGAACGTCCAGCTTGAGGTCGGCTCCAAGGTGTAAGTGCATATACCCGTCGTGGCGTCGACTGATATGCTTACATTCTGCCTAGTTACCTTGACAATGCTGCCTACATTAAAGCAAAGATCAATAACACTGGTATCCTCGGACTCGGTATGCGTTGTCGCACAAATCGCCGCTTGTCGAGACTTACGTGGTTTGAACAGGCTACACCCAGGCCCTCCGCCCTGGTGTCAAGTCGTACTTCGGCCTTGCTCTCGATACCCAACGCCTCAACGAAGTTACTCCCTCCGGTCCTGCCCACAAGATCGGTGCTCACTTCATCTTCGAGGGGTAAACTTATTCTATCATCGCTTTGATTGCATGCTCCCAAAAATATAGTAAATTTCCTAGTAGGCTTCGATGTCTCCTCACGTAGTGCTTACTTTGAGATCTCGGTTCAGAGACTTAGTGTGAGTTCTCAATCAGCTGGCCAGATCCGGAGCACTGGGCGATTGTGCTAGCGCTTCAGCCCTGTGCACGTCGGAGGCACCGTGCCCACTTTCTGCACGCTAGGAGGTTTGATTCGGCGCACACATGACAAGACTATTCGCGAACGAGGTCTCAGTCTCGAATGCCGCACGAATGTATGCCGACCAGTCGACCCGCCGTGGCCGAGTCTCCTCTTTCGTGGCTAGTGCGGTTCGAAGTGTGGTAAGCGGAAGACAGCTTCGCATTTGATGCCTGCTATATATCTACGTGCAAACTGTACAGTCGACATCCTCGCGGCTGTGTCGTTAATGTTCAATGCGTAGTATAAATAACAAAGCCGATTGAGCAGGCTATGGTATTTGGCGCACTGCTGTCTCCAGTGCATCTCCGCTCGCATGTTGTGTTTTCTTGGATAGCTCATATATTCGACCCTTATGTAACAATCTCAATCGCCTACATACTGTAGCCTGACAACAAAGCAATCATACATCTCCCGATCATTTCGTTTCCCGATGCCCCCAAGGCATGACACTACCCCGCATTTGTATGTAATCTCCCCGCAGTGTGTTGGAGTCTGGAGTGGAACGCGACTCAATATTCCGGCTAGTATTGATGACGATGGGTGTAGTCCGCGTAAGTACTTCGGCTGGTATGTAGTGCGCCCTATATCGCCTCGAGACGTTACAGGTAACAGATAATCAAACGCCCTTGGGCGCCATAGAAGCCAGAACCGCAAGCCTGTCAGCTGCGCACAAAGGCTACGGATCTCGACGCCGCAACGCACGATAGATTATGAGATGTGTGATAGGCGGATACCGGCTGGGCGAAAAGAGAGAGTCGCGACGGACAGTTGACGAAATTCCGATGTGAGCCCACAGTGGAGACCTGAACCAGACCAAACTTGAGACGAACCAAGACCCCACGACCAATTCCAATCATCGGCGTGTCAGACAACGACAGCCCCGACATCAGCACAATCAGCCCTATTCATAGCGGGTCTAGAAGTGCTCTCAGATGAGCGATAGCTTGATATGAGCTCAGCCTAGCGGAGGAAACGGGGACTGGACCGGTGGTGTGACCATGGCAAGTGTGCGGCGGTGTCGGGCACACAAGCCAGCTCAGAGTCCTTCTGGATGCTCGAGAGGACTCGTGGAGTGAGAACATGGATCGTGAGAGTCCGAAGTGAAGCACCGAAGGCGATGACAAGAGGCAGAGAAAGCGAGGAAGGCGAGAAGGAGAACCTTTGGCTAAGAGTCAGGCCCAAGCGCTCGGCAAGCTCACTAAGCGCCAATTGTGCGACCAATTTTTTAAAGTCCGACTTGAGCGCAAGCCTGGATATAAGCACGCAGCAGCGTGAAACAAAGGCTATCCCCACTCTTTCGTCTTTCTCTTTTCTGTACCCCTAGACGGTGAGCACCAGCATCCTCACATCCCGCGCAAGACAGTCCTAACGATAGCCCTTCTCAGGCCTCCGGCCACATAGAAATAGAGTGTTTCTGATTCCTTGTTCGACGCTTGGCCTTTTCCTGCGTTACGCACCCTAGAGCAAGTAGTTTTCAGAGTAAACTATCGTTCAGAGTGAGTGTGCTCGGTAGTACATAGCACTTCACTTTAACGATCTAACAGCTCGTTCGACATGCAGATGCCAGCCGCTACCGCTACCGCTGCTTCTACTCCCTCTCCTGCCTCCCTCAAGGCCGCTGTCGCCCCTGCTGCGGGCCAGTTCGACATCACTGGTCTCTTCGTCGCTGACAAGGCCAGCCGCGCAGCCGCTGCAGCCCAGCTCGCTGCTCTCGCCGAAAAGGAGGGCCCTGCTGCCATCCAATCCGTCGGCTTTACCGATGCTGTCGTGAAGGCTCTTCAAGACAAGAAGTCGCCCGCTGCTCGTGAAGGCGCTGCTGATGCGATCGCTTTCGCCGCTGCATCTCCCGCCATCAGGGCGCTTGAGCCTCTTTTCGTCGACAGTGGACTGTACGCTGCACTTCTCGAAACCTTCGCCGACAAGATGCCCGCTGTCCGGACAGCGGCCGTCGAGGCGGTCAGGAAGTACTTCTCCGCTATGAACCCTTGGGCAACCAAACTTGTGTTGCCCGCCCTTCTTCACGAGATCAAGTCTGCCGGCAAGTGGCAGATCAAGACCGGCGCTCTTGCTGTTCTCGATCAGCTCATTGCTTCTGCGCCGGTGCAGATCGCTCGTGCTACCCCAGATATCGTTCCCATCCTCTCCGAGGCCATCTGGGACACTAAGGCCGACGTGAAGAAGGCTGCTCGTGCTACGCTTGAAAAGGCCACAGCTCTCATCTTCAACAAGGATATCGAACGCTTTATTCCTGCTCTAATTGACGCTCTTATTAATCCCGTCGAGAAGGTTGTCCCCACTATTGGGCTCCTCTCCGCCACCACATTCGTTTCCGAAGTTGATTCGCCAACTCTTTCCCTCATGGTTCCCCTCTTATCTCGTGGTCTCAACGAGAAGCTCACCGCGACCAAGCGTAAGGTTGCTGTCATTGTTGACAACATGTCTAAGCTTGTCGACTCTGAGGTCACCGTTCGTCCCTTCCTCCCCAAGCTTCTCCCCGGTCTCCTGAAGATCGAGAGCACAATTGGTGACCCTGAGGCTCGTTCCGTTGTTGGACGTGCTATCGCGACCCTGCGCCAGGTTGGCAACGTTCCTACCGGTGACGGCTCCGACCTTCCTCCTTTGAAGTTCGCGGACGAGAAACAGCTCGCGCACTCTCTCATCGCTGTCTACAAGCAGCTCGGTGCCAGCCCTGTTCCTTCTGCTGGCAACGTCGAGACGATGTACGCGTCCAATTTGGCTGCTAACCTCGTCAACGCCAAGGAGTTCGACTCGTCTCAGTGGCAGACTCTCATCCCTTACCTCAAGTTCCTCGCTTCCGAGCCCGAACCCATCAAGGTTGCGAACGAGTGGGTCATCAAGTCTGCTACGATCGGCGAGGAGAACGACGATGCTCTCGAGGACGAGGAGGAGGGCGAGGATCTCTGCAACTGCCAATTCTCTCTTGCTTACGGTGCTAAGATCCTGCTCAACACCGCTTCGCTTCGTCTTAAGCGTGGTCACCGCTACGGTCTCTGTGGTCGCAATGGTACCGGAAAGTCCACCCTCATGCGTGCTATTACCAATGGTCAGGTCGAGGGGTTCCCATCTCCCAATGAGGTCCGCACCTTCTACGTCGAACACGACATTGACGGCTCTGAGGCCGACACCTCTGTCCTCGAGTTCATTGTCGCCGATACGCGTATTCAGGCGTCCAGGGAAGAGACCGTAGAGGCCCTCGCATCTGTCGGTTTCTCTGACGAACGTCAGGCGCAGCCCATCGGCTCGCTCTCCGGTGGTTGGAAGATGAAGCTCGCGCTCGCCCGTGCCATGCTCTTTAAGGCCGATATTCTTCTGCTTGATGAGCCGACCAACCACTTGGACGTTGTCAACGTCGCTTGGCTCGAGAACTACCTCACCAGCCTCAAAACTTGCACTTCCAGTACGTCAATTTTTTCTTGATTGGGTATTGATTCGATCTTAATGTAATCTTGTACAGTCATTGTCTCGCACGACTCTGGCTTCTTGAACAACGTTATCACCGACGTCCTCCACCTCAACCGCTTCAAGCTCAAGCGCTACCGCGGTAACCTCGAGTCCTTCATGAAGGCCGTTCCTGAGGCTCGCTCGTACTACACGCTGGAGGCGGCCGAAGACTACCAATTCAAGCTTCCAGACCCTCCTCTGCTCGAAGGTGTCAAGACGAAGGAGAAGTCGCTGATCAAGATGCGCAGTGTCGGCTTCAAGTACCCAACGCAGACCCAGCAGCAGCTGTACGACATCACCCTCCAGGTTTCCCTGTCGTCCCGTGTTGCCATCCTCGGTCCCAACGGTTCCGGCAAGTCGACTCTCGTCAAGCTGCTCATCGGTGACACCGAGCCGAACTGCGGCGGTGAGGTCTGGAAGCACCCCAACTTGGTCATCGGCTACGTCGCTCAACACGCCTTCCATCACATCGACCAGCACCTCGACAAAACTCCTCTCGAGTACATGCTCTGGCGTTATCAGACTGGCGAGGATCTCGAGGAGATGATGAAAAACTCGCGCCAGATCTCAGAAGAGGAGCAGCAGAGGATGAAGGAGGGCTCCATCGTCGTTGTCGAAGGCCAGAAGCGCATCATCGACGAGATTCTGACCCGCAAGAAGCTCAAGCAGTCGTACGAGTATGAGATCTCCTTCAAGGGCCTTTCCTCGTCTGAGAACATCTGGATGCCCCGTGACGAGCTTATCAAGCGTGGCTTCGAGAAGAAGGTCCTCGAGGTCGACACACGCGAGGCTCAGCGCCTCGGTCTCCTCCGTCCTCTCGTTCGTCGCGAGATTGAGAAGCACTTTGCGGACTTCGGTCTCGACGCGGAGTTCGTCTCCCACAACACCATGCGTGGTCTCTCCGGTGGTCAGAAGGTCAAGGTTGTCCTCGGTGCTGCGACGTGGCGCCGCCCGCACGTCATGTGTCTGGACGAGCCGACTAACTACCTCGATCGTGAGTCGCTCGCGGCGCTCATCAAGGCGCTCAAGGAGTTCGAGGGTGGTGTGCTCATCATCACGCACAACCGCGACTTCTCTGAGTCCATCTGCAAGGAGGTCTGGGCGATGCGCGACGGCCGTCTTGAGGCGTCCGGCCACAACTGGGTCGAGGGCCAGGGCTCCGGTCCCCGCATCGACAAGAAGGCCGGTGAGGACGAGGACCAGTACGATGCCATGGGCAACAAGATCGATGTCAACAAGAAGAAGAAGCTCACTTCCGCCGAGGCCCGCAAGGCGAAGAAGGATCGTATGGCGCGCCGCAAGCGTGGGGAGGATGTCATCAGCGACGAGGAGCTGTAAATCTGGTCTTTATTGTATTTGCATCTCTTACGTCTTTTTCTCTCCTGCACTGTTGTCTCGCTACGGATCGTCATGCTGTTGTATGTCTGTGCACGCTCTTCGATCTACTTGTATGGCTTTCTCTATTCTGTCTACCTACGGTGTCTTAATTCATATGTGGATCAACTTCCATCTTCTATGTGAGCAGAGCGAAGTCAGGTGAAGACGCAACAGCCGCGTTCGATGTCAACTTCCGACACTTGCTGTCGCGAGGGAGCGATCTGCTCATATATGCGCCGGTGCCAGCGCGAAGCGCTTGTTATGGGTCACCAGGCCTTCTGGTTGCTTGAGCCACGCGTCGTAGCGAAATCGACCCAACTTCGTTCGTCGTTATCCTTGTGCTATCGTCTTCCGTTGGGAGAAAATCCTCTTCCGACAAAATTCTCGCGCACTCAAGCATCACGAATACTGTATTGGGCAGACGACAGCCTATTTCGGCAACTTTCGGAGGAAGGATCATAAGTGAGCAGACTAACCGAACTCTCTCGGTCGCACCGCGGCCGACGGCTGTGAGGTTGCTAACCCTTCTTCTTCAGGTCGCTGCCGCGCACCCTACCGAGCTCATCATGCAGGCCGAAGGGTTAGAGTCAACCCTTGCACCCGGCGGTAGTTGGCCGTTGGAGAGGCTGCCTGAGGAGCTGCTGCGCGAAGTCCTGGACCACCTGCATTCAGATTCAGACAAGACGACCCTCAAGGCTTGTTCCCAGGCCTGCCACCGCTGGTGCACATACGTAACGCCATCTCTATTCCGTCGCCTCTCGTGGCCCCCGTGCTACTTCGCATGGGAGGACGCCTTCCTGCAAGTCCCCTGGACAGAAGAGTGCAGCTGCCGAGAAAAGGCAGCCTTTGGCACGCTTGCCACGCTCCTCTCGTCCTCCCCGCGGGTGCGCCAGGCAGTCCGGGAGCTGCGCTTCCGTGCGAGATGCAAAGTCGATCTAACCCTGACTATGAAGACCTTGCATGCGATTGTCGAGCATTTGCCGAGATTGGACATCCTCGAGCTCAGCGATCTCTGGGTCGCCACCATCCCCGCGGTGGCCGCGTGGCGCCCCGCAAGGGGAAAGTCCTTAGGAGAAGTCAGGCTCGCTGGGGACTCGCGCTCCACCGATGTCGCCCCGCAGGTCCTGAAGCTCTTCGACTGCGTAGGGAAGCTCGTGATGGCCAGTTTCGACGCTGCGGCCGGCTGCACGTCCTTCCGTGATGACGGCCAGTCTGCAGCCGTGCGTGTCCCCGCTCTCGTGGTCGATTTCGAGGAGGACGGGTATGCGGGCTGGCTTGATGCTCCTGGAGGCGGCATGAGAGAGTTCTGCTCCTACCTCGACGCACCGTCTCTCCGTGACCTCGTCCTCTGCCATCCGTTCGCGCCACACATGGAGCCCCTCACGATTTCCTGGCCAGCTCTGTCATCATTATCGTACGTGCTGGGCAAGCACACTCCGACGTTATCGCAAGAGGCCTCCCATTCGCTCGAGTCCTTGACCCTGGGGATACGGTTACCTAGTAAAGCGCGCAATGTACAAGAATGGGTCAAGCTCAGCTGGGACTGGATGTTGCGTGACTTGGAGGCTTTGCCAGCTGCGAATATCAACGAGCTTGGCATCGTCTTCCTTACTGCATACTTCTTGGAAGTACAATTCGCCGACGGTTTTGACATGTCTCTTCAAAGTAGGGACTGGGGGGCCCTGGAGCGCGTCATTCTGCGAAGGTTCCCTCAGATACGAGCGATCTACGTGCAGGTCGGATCGCACACGAGAGGTCGGAAGGGGCAGATAGCTGAGCGTTGCGACGAGGTTGTCAAGAGGGTCACTAGGACCAGGTTCACGTCTAGACTCTCACAATTCTTGGATGGCGGAGGTGGCGCCCAGAACTTCGCTTCCGTGCACCATCAGTATGATACTGAGTATTTAACTTAGTATCAGGACAGTGGTGACTGTTTATCTCTCGCGTGGCAGTCTTTGCATACGACGGTGTGGATGCGGATGCCCCATTTGTTGAAGCGGACGTCGAATAGGCACGATAACATCCGAGGAGTGTGCAGATACACGCCATACACATATAGCCTTCACAAGTGCTGATCGGTGTACTTCGTCCACCTCTCTACCTTGTGATGCCTTTGGCATTCTATCACGGATCACCCAACGATGATTTTCCGAAGGTAAGCTTCAGCAGATCACCCAAGGATAATTTGGCCATAACGGTAACGGCAAATGAACTTTGTATTGAGATATGACGTGTGTGAAACATGGCTACATGTCGCTTATGGGGATAACATGTTCTAGCGTATCTAGAAGGACGAGGTGACAATAAAATGCCAGAGTTGTGGGTGTATAAAACAATACACGCAGAAGAGATAGCTGCCAGCTTCAACATGCTACTGTTATGCTTTCCCGTCCGCCTGCGCTTCCTTCTCTGATCTCTCCGCTAGCTTTCGTGGAAGAGACTCGACCATAACCTGTACCCGTCGGCGTTCGTCCTCCATGGCCTTGCGGCAGATGGTCCTTTGCATGTCCGTAAGCTGTCTCTCTGCAGATGCCGCTAACGACCAATAACGCACCAAGTACCTAGTGACACAAGCATAAACGTGCCAACAGCCCAATTAGATGCAATTAAAGGGCCTAATCAAACGTAGTGTGATGAGAACGACAAAGACTCGTGAAAGTCGGGTGGTACTGACCGCTACTCATTCCCCGGATGACCCCAATACCTGCCCCACTTGCTATCCCGCTTAGTAGGCTACTCCTAGCACATTGAATCTCATTTATGCGCGAGATATCATCCCAAATCGAGATTCTCTTCCTTAACCCAATGGAGGTGAGTTCTGGTATAGAGCAGCGGAAATTCGGCGGGTACCTTGACGGCCTCTTTGGTGTCACCCCACCAGCTACCAGTGGTCTCCGTATGGTACATCGGTCTCTTTGAAGGGGCGTTGTCTGAGGACGCTGGCGGAGACTGCATTCTTGGCGACGTAACGAGGGAGAACGGCTGTGGTTGAGTCGAACGAGACACAAGCGCCAGGATTTGCCCGGAAAGGGAGAGCTTTGTGGCGCGGGGATTGCCGATTGAGCTCGAGCGCGACGGCGGCATTCGGCGGGACGGCGCGATCTCGCATTCGAGCAAGCTCTTCAGACTCGTCTATGCTCGCCTCAGCGCTGTCCAGAGGGCCAGATCGAACGCTGCAATTTGTAGTGGATTGAGGTAGGATCAGGGGGTGCATGAATATGATGAGTATATATAGGCTCATCGACGATGCTTATATCGAACATAGGCGACTAGTGGCCTAGAGAGTAGGCGGCAACACCTTCGGTATGTACGCTGCGTGAAGGCTGGTTCTTCAAATATACGAAGACGTGATGGACATTTACGAATCCAATGAAACGGCCTCGTGAGTGTCCCAAGTCACCATGCCTGGCTCGTCTACTTACGATGAGGCCATCGTTTAGCCCTGAATACTAACATCATACCGATAAAGCAGAGAGTGGCGGAGACATTCGTGAAATATTTTGCCGAGATAAAACAAGGACGTGAGGTGGAAAGAACAGGACAGTGCAACAGTCGTGCGTGTTTCTCGTTGCCTGACTGTGCCTGTCCGTCCGTGTACGCTGACAGTACTAGAGTCAGGAGGGCGCCTCTCAGCCAGGAAAGCCCGAACCCGACCACAGAAACAAGATTTCGAGTCCACTAACTCGCTCGCGTCACTTACTGAGCGTCTTTATTGCCCCAAACTTTATGAAGAAGCGTCCCGCCCTCATGGCGATCAGTGACACATCGCTAACTTGACGCTGATTTACTGCGCTGGTAGATCATTCAAGGCCGCCGAGGGTACAGCCGCGTATCAGCTTCTACACTTTGCGATGAGTTAAACTCACAATCTGACTCGCAGATCCATTCAACAGCTGCGGCGCTCCGGTCGGTCTCTCGATCCGCAGCTCCATTTGGTCAGCTAGTGCATCGCATCTTCCCCACACCCCAGAGAACCGTCGCGAGGCTACCTTGGTGTGCTTACGGGAGCTTCGTCTTCCATTGGGGATAGCGAAATGTGCCACGTCGTTTGCCCGGGCTTGCCAGTGGTCTGCAGCACTCATGGGAATGCCCGAGCTGTCACCGCGATGGGGCAACTCCTAAAAATCGGCCTTTGGCATGCCGATTTAGGCGACATTGATGACGCCGATGCAACGGCTCTCGGTGCGCATTGCACAGTGGACATCTGTCGGCTGCGAGAGTCATAGGCCGATACACATCTTCGGGCTGCGCGAGCGACGCCCATTCGCCTGGACCAGCGCTGACGCTACCATGGACTCAGCGAGTATAAAAGGGCCCAACTTGGTGCACTCGATATGACATTATCAGCTCCTTGCATCTAAACAACAATGTCTTCCACTACCACTTACAAGAAAGTCATTCTAGTCATCGGTGCTACTGGTGCCCAAGGCACTGCTGTCATCGACGCTCTCCTCGCTGTATCCGCCGATGGCTCCCCTTCCCCCTACGCTGTCCGTGCTTTGACTCGCGATCCTAACAGTCGTCGCGCCAGAGATCTCGCGGCCAAAGGCGTAGAGCTCTTCACCGGTACGCAGGCAGACACTATTCATTGAAACTAGTGAGCTAACGGCGCCACCTACAGGCTCGTTGGATGACTTGCCCACTATTCTCGCCGCCTTGAAGGGCACCTGGGGCGCGTTCGTAAACACAGACTCGTTCGTCTTCGGCGAGCAGAAGGAAGTCTTCCTCGGGATGCGTATTTTTGAGCTCGCGCAGCAGGCGAAAACCGTTCGTCACTACATCTGGAGTAGCCTTGACTACGCTGCAAAGGTAGCTCATGCTGTTACGCCGTAGAAGTGCAGCGGCATTGATGCTATTATCGTAGAAATCGGGTTATGACCCCAAGTATAGGGTTGAGCACTTCGACGCCAAGGGCCGCGTCGCTGACTGGCTGAAAGCACAGCCTTCTATCGCTAGTGACGATAGCTTGTCCTGGAGCTGCCTCTCTACGGGGGGCCCTTACATGGAGATGTTCAAGTCGGTGCGTGCATAACTCTATATGAGCTTGTGCAGAGCTGATGACATGATATCCAGCCTTTCATGGGCCCTCTCGCTCGCCGTGCCGATGGCACACTCGTCTTCGCGTTTCCTACCGACCAGGGCCACATCCCGATGGCGTCCCTCAGAGACATCGGCTTCTTTACCCGCTACTCCTTCGACAACCGTGCTGAGGTTTCGGGAAAGGACCTCGAGATCGCGAGCGACATGGTCACGCTTGACGACGCTGTCGAGGCCTTCAAGCGGGCCACCGGGAAGCCGGCCGTCGCGGTGCACCTCACCGTCGAGGAGTGGTTCCGCAACTGGAAGAATACCGATTTCCCCGTCTCGAAGGGCGAGGGGTCGGCAACGTTCAAACAGAGCTTCACGGCGTTCTGGTACGTGTTCCGAGACGACATTGTGGAGAGGGACATGGTCTGGATCCGCAAGATAAACCCTAAAGCGCAGACCCTTGAGCAGTGGATGAGGGATAATGAGTACAAAGGGGAGGTGGACTCGTTCTCGCCGAAGGGCTGGGAGAACGGCGGCCTTCCTCTGGCTCCTGACTTGGAGCACATCGCTGAGACTCTGGGAAAGGCGTAGATATGTAATTTGCGCAAGTTTTAAGATGTTGTCATGTCAACTCGCGATGCGCCTCCTGATGATTTAGATGCACATCTGCCCTGCTCCAAATACGATAGCAATTTATGACTCTGGGCACCATGCTTCAAGTAGAAGGCCTAATATCCAGTATTGTGGCCTGATATTTCTCATTTAACCTCCCTAAGGACGACGTATCGTGCGCTAGCAGTCCATCGGCCTTCTGACCTGCACTTAGCAAGTTAGTATGCTGGGCTGCGGCTGCCATGCACGCGTGATGCGGCGGGCTGGTCGCCTCACACTGGCTGTACCTTCCTACTGGCCATTCGCTGAGTCCGCCAGTCGTATAGGCGTATCTGTCAGGGAGGATGATGGCAAGCTGCCGAGCGTCCAGAACGCCAAACGCGGTGCGCGCTCCCTCAGACTCGTTCGAGAACAGTGAAGCGACGTCGAAAAATATACTCGAATCGCGTGGTATCTCCATCTCGGCTCCCAAGGTAAGGTTTAAAAAAATTACGTCTAAAGTACGTGACTGGGTATAAATCCGCACGGCGACCTAAAAGGAGTGTGAAATGTACTACAACAACAATTCCAGGGGTAACAACAGACAACAACAAGCGAAGGGAAATTCAGGCGGAAAGGGGCCATGCAGCGCGGTCGTTAGACAGAAGACTCTGCAACGGAAAGGCTTGGGTTCTTCTCAGCGAAGACATCCTTGCCACTGGGAATTATCGGTGAGTGTAGCCGTCTCGGTGTGGCACTGAGGACGCACTTTTTGCCAAGAAAACTGTCCGTGCCCTTGTAGAACAACAGATCGTAAATGAAAGTGCCAGCTGTCACACTGATTCAGCAGACAGTCGGAGATAATATTCAAAAAAGCGTACAGAGTCCACCGAGGATAGGTGCCAAGATTGGGCACCACAGCCAATACTGCCTAGATCCAAGCTAAAAAATCAGAAGCTCGATTGTCAAGCTTATATGCTCACCCCCTGAAATCGAAGACTACGAGTTGAAGCGTCAGTAGCTAACTATTGCAGACAAGAGCTGACCAAACTGACCTTCTTTGCCATAGCCCACCATCGCCGTCAAAATCCTCGGGCCAAGGTCGCGGGCAGGATTCAGAGCAAAACCTACGAAAGAATTGGCTCACATTAGCTGACGCGAAGACGTGACATGACATACCGGTCTGCATTCCGAGCGAAGCACCAATGCCCAGGATGGTGACGAAAAGAACGAGGGGAACGAGACCAGCTGGCGGAGGTGCATTTCTCTTGTCTGTCACAGCACAGATGACGAGGAGCAGGATGGTGGTGCCGAGATACTAGATCGCATCCAACAGTGAGGAAAGTTATCTTGCACAAGAGAGAGCTTTGTACCTCTTCGAAGAAACATGATACTGAGGTCATGTACTCTGCCTGCATAAAGGTTCCTTGTCAGGCTGAGACGCGCAAATCTCAGCTTATATATGCACTTACCGGGTAGGTGCCAAAGAGTCCGGCGGTTCCAGGAACCGTGCGAATATGTCGCCCCCCTTCGACCGCGTCAATGGCGTGTATATAGTTAGCATACACAACCCCAGCACCGCAGAGACCACCCAGAAGCTGAGCTAATACATATGCGGGCACCTTCCGCCAGGGAAAGTCACGTAGCGTGGCGAACGCAAGGGTGACCGCAGGGTTGATGTGGCCGCCGGAGATGCCACCGGAGACCCATGCACCGAGTGCGACCCCTGGGAATCGCTACAACATCAATATGATAGTGGTGCATGCTATGCATGATGCTAACCTGCTGCCCAACCGAGACACACGGAAACGAAGTCCTGTCATGACAGTGTCACTAACATCACCGCCCGGACAATCGCCACGATACTCACGCCCTTGGGAGTGGCGGAAACCAGGGTACTCGTAGACAGAGAAGCCTGGCAGTTGACCCCCGCACCGAAGATAACAAGGATCATCGTGCCAAGAAACTCTCCCGCAGGCTCGGAAACGAGCTCCCTAAGGCGAAGGATCAGCTGAAGCTAGTGTAGCGAGGGGCGGCAGCCGTACCGGATGGTCAGCCATCGACTCTTGGGAACAGAGTACTCCATTTCAGGGGCAACGAGTCTTTCCTCAATAACCGTGGACATGGAAACCTTCGAGTGCGCGCGGTCAAAGGTTGGCCGTTGCAGAGTGGCATCGTCACGACGATTTGCTGAAGCCATTCCAACCAGGGTGGGTAGGGAGGTCTCGCGGAGGAGAGAGCCGATGGATACTGGTACCGACCAACATCTCGACCTCTTATGTACCGACGTGACGGGCTAGCGAACGGCGTATCGGGTGGCATAAGCGTCCTCGAGGCAGCAGCGCGTGGCATCCCGAGCTTCCGTATGCGGCATTTATGCATGAGCGGACGAAGCTTCTGGGCATCCGGAAGCCCAACGCCCTGCTTTCTCGGATCGCCGTGCATCTTCTCAGAGGCGGTACCTGTGCGAGCATGTCAATCATCCTGTTCATTCCTCATGTATACCAGCACTCGAGAGCATACCATGACAGTGTCAAGTGGTGTCAAGGCCGCCATCAGAGGACGGTCTCGGTCTTCGGGCGTCGCGCATGATAGCCGCTGCTGATACGTCCGTGTGTCGTAAAGAAGCAGCGTGTATTCGTTCCCGAGCATCCTGATTGGTGCGGATCAGGTCACCGCGTTCGTTGCATGTCATCTGGAGCAAAACGTGAGTTGGACCGGCGGCGCCAAGTCGCGTTTCAACTACACGCCGAGAATGCTTCACTTAGACACAGACGTCGAGTAAGTTCTAATCGAAGTAACGTGCCTGAACAGCACCTTAGCAGAAGGTACTGGTATGCAGGGTGAGCCGGTATTACTGACTGATAAATGAAAGGCTAGCCTTTCTCGCCACGGGGAAGAAGTATCACCGAAATCTGGCTGAGGGTCGTGTAGTGGTCGAGGCAGTTGGATACAGCTACGGTCGGAACAGGACATCGTGCGGTATAACCTATGTGTTGAGTTCAGGCGCTGTTTACGGTCGCGCGACAGCTCCGTGACATACCATTGTGCTGTCACTGAAATCTCCGCGTCGCGCCTTGGACAATGAAGATTGAATAGCTTGAGAGGTACTGGACTAGAAACGTCGACGGAAGCTGTAAGCTTCGAGAGTTCTGATCTTGTGTCTTGACATGGCCTCGACTTCCAGAGGCACTCTTTCCTCCGGAGCAAACGGGAAGGCAACGTTGTAAACGTTCCGCTCGTCCCTGTCGTCGATGAATGCAAAAAGTACCCAGTGATCACTATGAAACTCTGATGAGCAGATATCGATTAAACGGTCTTCTGACTGTCATCAACATCGACCAAACAACCGAATAATGTACAATCCTTGCTACTGCTATATATCTGATCGTAGTATGAAAGCATAGATGACGAACTGAAAGCTCGTGGCACTTCGTGTATATACGTACTGTTCATGATATTGCTCACACGCCTTGCGTGCCCGCGATGGGTTTCTGCCTTTCCGCTCTAATGGCTTGCTCATGAGCCCTCCGGGCATTGGCATCACTAAACGAGGAGGCTTAGTAAGGAAACCTCGTCGTGAAAAGGCGCCGGAGATACTTACGGTCGGTTGAGGAGACTCTCTTGGCCGACGAAGAAGAATGCATCATATAGGAATGTGCCAACTGAACGGCAGAGCATAAGCCGACGAAGAGCAGCATGTGACACGCGGAAACTTACCGAGGCCACCGACGATGGGAGCAATGACCGGGCACCAGAGCCAATACTGGCTGCATCTAGGCGTCAAGAAAGGTCCCATGATGATGGCAAGACTGAACTTACTTTCGGAAGGAGAATACCGCGCCGCCGTAGCCCACCATGGCAGTCAGTAACCGGGGGCCGAGGTCACGAGCAGGGTTGATGGCGTAACCGGTCTGGTAACCCAAGGATGCACCAATGCCTAGGATCGTAAGGAAAAGCGCAAGGGGGACCAGGCCTGCGGGTGGAGGGCCATTGTTTCTGTCGGTGAGCGCGCAAACTACGATCAGGAGCACTGCTGTGCCGACGAACTACATCGGTGTGAAAACGCTTTCCATAAAGCCGCGGAAGTCTGGAACATACCTCGTCGAAGAAGCAGGAGACTGATGTCATATAGCTGGCCTACAAGATGATAAGCACTGAATAGTAGAAGACGGATCGCATGCTGTACGTACCGCGTACGTGGAGAACAGACTTGCAGTGCCGGGGACAGTGCGTATGTGCCTGCCACCTTCGTAGAGGTCAATGGCGTGGATGTAGTTCGCATAAATGATGCCCGCTCCGCAAAGGCCGCCCATAACCTGAGCGAAGATGTAGCCAGGGACCTTGCGCCAAGGGAAGTCACGGAACGTAGCAAGTGCGATAGTGACAGCGGGATTAATGTGCCCGCCAGAGATACCGCTTGAGACCCATACACCGAGGGCGGTGCCTACAAACCAAACACGGTAAGTATATATATATATATATATATATCGTCGATAGGAGCGCTCTTTACTCACCGACTGCCCATCCAAAACTGATCGACAGATAATCCTGTCAAATGCGATGCACCCATAGGTAAACAGCTGCTCAAACAAAAACACACAATGTCCAGCACTCACGCCTTTGGGGCTGGGTGCAACAGCCGTGTTGCCGGTGAGCACCACCTGGCAATCTACTCCATTTCCAAAAATGA